CAAATCACATGGTAGCAAATTATTGGTTGGAGTTACATCGGCAAATAGCAATCAGCGGTTGTCCAAAACTGGAGGTTTTGTAACTTTGTATCGGCTAGAATTTGGATATCCACTTACAAAAACCCTGGAAGAACAAATCACAACAAACCAATTATGGAAATGATTCGACAATAATTCAGCCGAATATTTAAAAATTAATTTGAAACATTACAGTTTTTTGCAAACGATTCTATTACTACCGATTCCATTTTTCACTCTTTCAACGTACTAAATCCACCAAACTCTGAATCCTCATATATAAGTCTGGTTAAATCTTTTTGAATTCCAAACTTCATTAATTCGTCTTGATCCTGCTAGATAAATCGTAGCAGATTTTCAGAAAAACATCTTACGTAAACGCTATAATCCCATATGAATATGTATATACGTATTATCTTCAAATTACTATTCAGGAAGTAAGGTCAAACTACAGACGGAATGTTCTATTTCTGTTCACGAACCTACAAAAATCGACACAATACAAATGTCATACATTATGAATAATTGATGTATTCAAAATGTTAGATAAATATTCAAATAATCAGATGTTGGTTAATGCCAGTGATATGGCCACAACCAAAGCCCCCAAGCTAGAAAATATTTTCTGTCTCGGAAGTAAACAGCAAACACATGTATATTTCTAGAAAAGATGAAGGTTTTTCACTTGAAGACGCCGTTCTTTTAAATCAAAGCAAGCGGAGGCTCATTGAAAGCATCTGCGGACATTTTCTGCGATTCGGGCTTGTTGTTTTCCACATATTGGTCATCTAAATTTCGAATACAAACACATCAGTCGCAGATCTTAAACTTCCCAACGAATCATTCAAAAATCGAAACTATTTTATTTGAAGATATCACGAGTTCAAAAGTTTTTCCAAAATCGATATGTCTTCCGCAGATAAATAATTTTATTTTTGGCAGAATCTACTTAGTCGTTTAATTTATAATCCTTATTTCCTGTTTTATCTTACATTTAGTCCATATTGAAAAAAAAAAAAAAAAACAAATTAAACTCAAAGAATTATCGCGCGATCACGTGAAAGCCGAAGGGTAAAGCTTGAGATGAACTGGCTCGTCAATAATGATAATGCATCGAATCGTGAAACGAAGCGTAAGCAAAAATCCCATTTGAATGGTTTTGAAATGATTTTAAAATTGTACTTAAATATCAATTTTAATTTTTGAAATATTCATTGAAACGGAAGGTTAAAAAAATATTTTTTTAAATGCAATTGAATAAAATCAAACATTGTATTGTCGGCGTCAAACGACTTGACGAAATTTTAAAAAATATTGGCTAATTGCCAGATTTCTCGAGGCGAAGAGAAGTGTATGTGGCATACACTTTGCAGCGTGCTTTGCGCAACGTGTTTTTGGGCGCGTTATTTTTTGAGAATTTTTCTGTGTCTCTTTTTTTATTAGTCAGTTCCTTTTATTTTTGCTGTTTATCTTACATTTTTATAATCGCTGATTGATAGTTTAAAATTTTCATATATTTTATGGCATTTTTTAATTAATTTGGCATCGTTAAAACTTATTCTTCATCATTTTTCGTTTTCTAATTTTTAGTACATTTTAGGAAACACAATCATATTGAACAGGAGCCGAAGGACTTTGACAACTACTAAAGTTAACAAGACGGGTATTTATATCATTTTTATTTAAAATGCTCATTGTTTCATCATAGTTGTAGCGACTTCAATGGCGTCAAATATTGAACCCTTCGCGCAACCTCGAAGACAACCTCCAACGGACACAAAATTCTGAATTATATGCTCGCCTCGGTACTTCACAGCTTCATCAATACTAGGGAAAGGGAAAAAATATACTCAATGACTTCAAGCTTCTTCCAAAAAGTACGTTATCATTTTTTTATCTTTGTAGACTCAGTTTTCTTTTTAATTTTGTATTCAATGTGAAGTTATTACTAGTTTTAGGCGATTGGAATCAACGCTCGTTTGGCTTTCGGTTATAAATTTCAATTGTGCAGCGTCTTGGTGCATTTCGAGAATGCTTGGTGCATTTCGAGAATTCTCAATTAATCGGATGACTTTCCCCATTGAACAATAATTTTCATACTATTTTTACGGTAAATAAAACATTGTTGGGGTGGTCTTAAGATATTCGATAAATGTACGATTCTTTCGCTTGTTTAAGTAAATGCCGTTAGTTCCGTGAACTTTTACGTATATATGGAGGTCGACATTATAAGAATGCAAATGACAATGGGTATCAGGATTAAAACACTCATAACATTTTTTTTAATTAAAAAATCGAGAAAAAAACATTTAATATTTGGTCAGCGCGTAAATCTACACGCTCGTAAATCTACACTGGTTACGATATACTGAAGGCCACGCCCCCATCAAGTCGTTTGACGCCGACAATATACAGGTTGTAGTGAATTCACCTGGGTCGACGGTGTCACCGGAGTACTGTATTGTAGAGTTTCAATATAAAACTTAAAAACTGATCGAAACTAGTTTTTGAGCAGCCCCCATGTGGATCTTAAAGTTTTTTGATGGAATTTCAAAGTTTTCCTGAGTTTTTTGAGATATCTGCTCTTGCCGACAATTATATCGATGCAAGTGAAATGCACCATTATGACACGAACTTATGAACTCAACCTAACCCTTCCGAGGCAGCTCGAAAAATTAACGAAGTTTGAGGTCAAGGAAGTAACAACTAATGTACATACGTACGGTCCAACGCTGGTTTATCATTCAACCGTCAGTTTGAAGTGAATTGGCAAGACGAAAAATCTCGAAAAATGAGTGTCACACGAATTGAATGGAAGAAAGAAAAAATGCCGTTGTGAGGTGTCATCGTTCTTCTTTCGTCACAAGAAGAAAAAATCATTTCTTGACCGAATCGTAACCTGTGATGAAAAAACACTTTCCAGCAAATCTACGAAGTGATCCGAAGCTTTAACGAATATAAAATGGCGCATTAGACTTGTATCGACCTAACTTGCATATGTATTATTTTCTATCTTTATTTTTAACAGTCATTTAACAGTTTTTGAAGATGTGAGGCTGTATTATTTTTACTAAATGAAAATCTCCACATCTTTAAATCGAAATACGGTGTTTGCATTGAAATTGTTTTTCACTTGTGTGAAAGAGAACTCCGTTAAAATGGAGACTTCTGTTTGTTAATACAATCCAAGAACAAACTTTGGAAAGAATTTGGAAGAAGCGTGGGACTGTAAAAACCTTTTTTAAGAGTTCAGCCTGGACTTATTATTTCAATCATATGATCTTTGACATTATGCAATTTACAATAGTAACTCAAAACCAATCGGATCCAACAAAATTCGGTTTCGGAATAATAAAAATCCCGACCGATATTTCTAGGGATGCAATTGCAAAATTGTCCTATCCAATCGGTTTTATTGATATTTTAGGATCTGACATCATCGGATCTGATTTAAATTAGTTCGAATCCGATTGGTTATTGTTTCGAAATTTTTTTTTTAACTTTTCGGACCCGATTGGAAAAAAAAATTTAAAAATAGTAATTTTTCAAATTCGTATGTAATATTGCCCAACTCGGAACCGATTAGTTCAGATTTATCAGAGTTCAGATTTATCAGATCATCTATTTACTGATTGAAGGATTAGTATTGGACCGTTTATAGGTTTCATGGTTCATACCAATTCTAAAAATAGTTTGTCCTTGTAATAACATATGGTTGGCGTCAAACAATTGAACCAAATTTTAAGAAATATTGGCTACATGCCAATTGTTTCGAGGAAAAGAGACGTGCGCGTGCCTGCGTATTCTGCATTTTAGTGTACGCGCAATTAATTTTTAAGTTCCAAATGGCTCGGTGTTTTGCTCGCGACTATAAATTTACCATTTTGATCTACGTTGATTTTGCGATATTGAATTTCTCGCCACTGATTGGTCGTTTGAAAATGACAATAACCGAGTCAGAAAAACAAATCGATGACACTCCTGACATTTTTGATCTCTGTTGAGCGGGCCATGTGCAGACAAAACAACAGTGACCACTTACCACATACTACTATCACTCTCTCTGTTTTTTTATGAAATCAAAATCACTTTAGTTTTTTTGTGCTTTTGAGCGATTGTTAAGAAGGAAATCAATTATCTTTATATTTTCGAAGTCGCGCGACCGCGGAAGGCTGTATGCCAAACAACTATGGCTGCGGAATTGGCGGCTGGTGTGAAATTAATATGAAACTATCATTATGCTTAGCCAGTAAATATCCTCTTCAATACTGAGCCATTACCCCCTGCTAAATTTTTAAATTTAGTTTTTAGTGAAAAACACCACGCCAAAAAATAATAACGAGTTTGAAAAATAAATATTTAAAAAAATCCGCAAAACGCGCATAACATGATAAAATTAAATAAGAACTCTCTATTTAAAAACACAAAAACCTTAAATTTTTCCATTTCTTATTTCAACCAATCGTATCGTTTTGTGTATTTGTTCACTACACTTGTTCACCATACACAATCTGAATCATTTTCTGACCGAGATTTTGTTTTGATGTGAAATATGCCGAAGAATATACTTTGCTCTGTTGGCTGTTTTGAAAAATAAATTATTTTCCGCTCGTTTTCTGCTAACGCTATCAGCCTCATTAAGATTTTTTTTTCAAAAAGTCACATTGAAAACTGAAAAACAAGTTAGTTTTCGAAGAAATCTTACCATCCACCGTGATTCTCTTGCTAATTATTTATCCCTTTCTCAATATTAGTCATGCATTCTTGTTTGCTTCATTTCATTTCGCCGCTCAATATCAATGATCGCTTGAGCTCTTAAATCCCGCCCCTAGGCTTCTTGCCGGAAGCACATGCTGAGCCACGCCCATTCGCAGACCCGCCCACTTTGCAGAAGCATATAAAGTGAGGCAAGCCGGTAGATTGATCACTTCAGTTTTATTTCTTTCCACATTTCAAATCCACTTTCCTTTTTTCAGACCATTATGGTACTACTGGAGATATTGCTGCTGGTCTTCTGCAATTCCGCCTCGACCAAGCATAGATCGTATGGCAGTCTTGATGACGAAGCACAGAAATTCGTCAAGATGTTCATTCCGACGAATCATCTTCAAATGTTCACCGAGGCACTCGGATCCCAAGAAAACAAAGAAGAATGGCGTTTGGAACGTGCGTACAAGGAATATGAAGATTATTTGAACGATCCACATAAAATCCACCATCTCGAAAAAAAAGTTACTTGTATGTTTTAAAATCTCAAACATATTTTAAAAAGTAAATATTTAGACGGCCTGTAATTCACAAGCATGTCTTTGGATATATGGAAAGTGAGAATTTCGTGAAGGACGTCCGAAGCTTGTGCCTAAGAAGCTGGGGTGTAAGATGAACTCAATGGTACGACATTTAGTTTTATAAAATTTTACAGATTCCTGAAACTGAGAAGTTGGTAGCCGGACTATTAGGAATCGTGAACTCAGACAACGAAAGATTTGACGACATTATCGAGAACAAAAAATACTGCGAATTCCACCGAGAAGTTTTATTCCAAAATGAGATGACAATCCATCAACTGGTGAGTCTCATGATCGAGTTTTTTTTTTCACATTTTTAAATTTTTGCATAGATTCCACTTATTGTTGAGTTCTGCGAGAAAAACGTTTTCATCTACAAAGGAGTTTCGATGCAAGTTGTGCCGTATCCTCGCAGTTTCTTGGAATCTGTAAGAATCTTTCTTGGTGAAAACCAGTTTAAATTACTTTTAAAAACGCATAGGTTATAAATGTTTGTGGAACAATCAAAATTCGACGAAACTATGTGGATAGCGAAATTTCTCAAATATATTTCAAAGGAACATGCATGAATCAACTCTATTCGAGAGGAAATCTTTCCGTTCATTGCTCATTATATGTATGTTTGAAAATTATAACAATTAAAACATCGATCTTTAAGAATGTAATCTGGGCAGATGTAAGACATGAATGCGAAGCCAGATTCTTCGGATTGTTCGATGCCCCCGGGCCAATAAATGAGCGAATCAGAAGAAACCAGGCCGAATGGAAAAATGTAAAGATTATGCAATTTCCTGTTGTTTAGTAGTTGTTTTCAGTACGGAACAATACTCCCCATGTGCCGCCGACTCCTCGAACTCGAAGAAATTGAGAAAAAACGACATCCCATGGTATTTTAAACAATTTGTTTCAGGAAACAAAACATTGACAATTTGCAGGATCTGACCTTGCAAAATATCCAGATGTATTTCAACGGAAAACTGAAAAATGAAACTCTATGGGACGAATTGACGGAAGCTGCGAGAAATGGAGATGTGAAGGAATTTTTCGAAGCGCTGCAAACAATGGTATACACTGCTTCGGCTGAAGATTCGAATGCCATCGTTGGTTTCGCTAGCAGCACCAGAGAAAAATGCCATAGAACCTTGGACGTTGCTCTAAAAAATCGCCAAGTGAATGAATACGCTATCAAAAGAATTGAAAAGGACGATGACGTGATTAAAAAATCGGAGATGGTCTCTGATAAACAATGCCTTTCCAAAAAATATCACCGGGCTTTGGTATTGACTTTCGAGCAAGCGCGATCGGAAACCCTAAAATCGTTTGAGCCGATTTGCCATTTGGCTGAAGAGGTGAGAAATCAATTGACATCAAAATTTCAATTAAATGTTGCAGATACATTGCCTTTCGGTGAAGGACCTAATGTCGAAGATGAACAATCTGATGCCGATCAAAAAAATGTACAAGAAGTACGAAAATGATATCACCAACTTTGACGATTACTACTAATCGTTATATATGCGTCGATATATGTAAATTCATCATATATTCATCTATCTCGAAATTCTACCTGGCCAATCTAAAGTTTTATCCTGATGATTGATTTTGATAAAAGATTTCAATACAGTCGATGTTAAATGATATGGTTTTAAAGCAAAACAAATGATAAATCCGAGCCTACTTGGCAAATGAGCTCCAGGAATTTTGAATTCGGGGGTTTCAAAGAACACAACAAAGGTCAGGAATAAATCCGGAATATCGGTTTGGATCTAGTGGCGAATTACCTTCTACCACGACAATCCGCAATAACAAGGGGACTTATTATGTTATCTTCTTGAACAGTTACATCAATAAGCCTCCGTGTTTATGATTATACTGTTGTGTCACCCATATATATATATCAATTTACTGTTTTCTAGTCGGTAAAAAGTCGGGTTTCAAAAGTTAACAAGATAAAAAATGTTAGTTTTTTATGTTAAGATATTTTAAATTAAACGATATTTGTTCATTTAAGCAAATAACTAAAACTAAGTTTAGCCTAATTATTTAAAGTTTAGACAGACTTCTGTTTCCCAAATTTATTAGTCATTGTTGTTTTCAATAATTCGTGTTTTGTCAGAACGAATATTAAACAAGATAATTCAATCAAAATCGCTGTGAAAAAAACAATTAGCATCGCTTTAGAATGATTTTTTCTAAAAACAAAATGTTATTGAATAATCAAGTTAGAAAACAAATTTTCTAATAATTAAATGAATCAAGATCGATGATTAACACATTCCTATATACAATGAAAAAAATCGCTTTGGGTTGCTATTCAAAAAATTATGGGTTGAAGGCGCATCGAGACCTTTTTAAAAATTGTCCAACGCTACACGAATTCCTCTCTAACCAAAAATTCAACACTTTCGAAAAAATTAAGAATAGATTCGAGACAAAAGCAAACTTGTAAAACGAAACAATACGTATAAGGAACATTATTTACAACAGGTGTGCATGTGTGTGTGTGTGTGTGTGGTGGGTGTGTACAAAAGTGGATAAAAACCGATCTGCCCAGCTCCCCTTTTCATATATTTTTCAACTCCGGTAACTCAAAACCAATCGGATTGTACAAAACTCGGCACCGGAATCAACCCGATCTGATTGGTTTTTTTTGGTATTTTCGGATCCGATTGGTAATAATTGAAAAATTAGTACAAAACGAATTCGAATAATAACCTATCGGATCCGAAAATACCCAAAAAACCAATCGGATCCAAAAATTTACAATCTTGTCCGTTGAATTTCCAATTGGATAATTTTAAACCAAACTTTGTCGGATCCGATTGGTTTGTTTTGAGTTACCAGAGAGCGTGGAGTGCAACAATCCATACGAGAGTTTCACTTCAATACACCCGTACAACCTTCAGAATTGTTCGAGTTTTTTTCATTTCTAATGCAATTTCGTAAAAAATAAATAAAAACACCCTACCCGCCTTTCGGACACACGCGTTAAGAGGGCTTCTCGAGAACTTTGCATGCAGTCTAATAAATTCCGTAAAATTCGCTCCCAAAAACGCACACTGGTTTTACAGTTACTTTTCTACTCAGCGAATTTCTCGCGAACTACGTCGTACGAGTCCCACACTACGGGGACGACTGCAGTGTTGATTTGCGGACACGCGGTGCTACAGACGGAGCACTTTGAGGATGTTCACATATAGCCCGTTTTTTGAAAGAACTTACCTGTTCGTTCGCCATGAGGATTAAAAAATAAAATCAGAATAAAAATAAAACACAAAAACAGAAATATGATAAAGCAAAATAATCATCGAAATTCTTGTTTGGAGGCATACAGCAAACAAGGCGACAAGCTGAAAATATTCCTTTATTTCAGAACTTAGGTTTTGCGAATTGTCATTCGTAGATTTCAACTTTTATCTAATGGTACAATGCAGATTTGAAAAAAAAAATCAAAAAACCACGGCCAGGTTTTTCGAAGTCTACATTACCACAAATTTTATAAAATCGCTGCAAAGATCATTGATTTTAACCGTAGCGATTTTATTTTTTTAAATCCATTTCGTTCGATTACGTTTTCTAGTTTTTTTATTGTGATTAAAGGCGCACATACAAAATTTTCATGATTCTTGCAGCGATTTAATAGAAAACTGTGGTACTGACTTCGAAAAACCTTTTTTGGGTTTTTAACCGGTTTACGTTTTTTTCTAATCTGCGTAGTACGGTATGAGACGTTTTCAAGGCGCATGCGCGGAAATCTACCCGTACAGCCGTGACGCCAACTATAATTTAGCCCAGTGAAATATTCAAAATCACCAACCCACGCACAGACGCCTAGAGGGTACCCATCGCCAATTTACATCCGTAATGGAAAACAAACGAGATATTACTCACTGCATTAGAAGCCGGGTCGAACTGTTTTGAAATCCTTTCGCTAGCAGTTCAACAAAATCTGAAATTATTATATGTATTCAAAAATGAGAGCCAAATACTAATACGAGTGATTCGAATATCTTTTGAATTTCAAAACGTTGGAATCGAACCTCATTTCTTCAATGAACTTGTATTCTAGCCTTCTGAAAGATCCAATTATGTATAAATCGGAAGTTTTCATCAAACTTGTTCACAATGTAAGCAGCATCCAGAGGGTTCAAGAGCATTCAGCAAATTTCGCGCCAAAGCGCCCCAACTCAAACGAGCTGTTGTGAGACAACAACTGACAGACTACCCCTAACTAAACTATGACTTTTTTGGTGACGGGTTAGAGCCTCCGAGCCCCTGGACGTTGGCTCCCCCGTCTGAATAGCTGCCAGCTTCCAATCACGCAGCAGCATTTTTGCGAAATTTCTTCACTCTTGAAACCCTCGAAATCCGGAAACGAAGAGTGCAGTGGACGAAAATTAATACTTTGCCTGCAATTCAAGAAATTAAATACGTTTTCATTACAAACTATATAAATAAATTGCTAAAAACGAAATAAGTCAATAAATTTATAAGAAAATTAAAGAAATACTCAGCAAACCCTATACATGTCAAAAAAAGTGGCAAAAGTTGAAAACGTGGAATATTTGTGATTACTGTATATCGAATGATCTGTGCATAACGAAATTGACGAAATTAGGAACAATTTTTAATTGTTGTTTAAATTATAGATTCTAGCTAATTTTCTTGGCTTCATTATTTCACTTTTTCTTCAAATAACTTACATTTTTCTGTTTCATTCATCTGTATTCTTTTCTGTGGTTTTTTATCTCGTCTGCTTGGTGAAATGGCGAGAACGGAATATAAAAATGTCAATGGGCAGAATTTCAAACGTGGAAACTGATTGGAAATTGGTAATATGGGCCACGTGATTCGATTGTTTTTGTTTAAGGTAAAATAATGTTTATCTTTAAAATAATTCGAAATTTCAATTCTCGATTTGGATAATAATTTTTTAGTGTTTTTTGAATTTAAATCTCATTTATCTTCTTTTTTTTCTTAAATTTAGTGTTGTACTCAATCCGCACTTCGCCCTGTCAAGATTTAATTCATATTGAACACGCTCCACTCGATGCCTTCGACCACATATTGAATAGATATACACACTATATTATATGTGGTGGAAACGAGGCTCCTTTCGGAGAAAAAGCCACCGTGTTAAGCGTTGAAAAATCCGAGGTTTTGCTTTTTTTTCAAGTTTGCATGGTCGCGCGCAATATTACCATCTCTCCCATTTAATACCCACGAAATGACATTTTGCATTAGGCAAACGGCTGGTATATTCCCATCACAAAAAAGGAACGGTAATTCAAATTTCGATTTAAACAGTGGGAATTCCTGTATTACAATTTACATAGGGTTCTCGGTTTTTTTTTTCAGATTGGAAAACTTTATCTCAATTAAAAATTGAATATGAATTTTATTAAATAAAAGTTCATGCTAAATACAAGAATATGTGTATTTTAGTTTTCGTTGATAACATGACGACGTCGTGAGACCTGAAGTATTTTTAAGATTTCGATCGAAATTTCTAAACCACACCTTTATTCCCCAAAGTTTGTAGCAAACTCCACGGACATGTTCGATTGTGTGCTTCTGATTTTCCGTGAGCCGTTCCTCGAGTTCAATTAGCTTTTGTTTCAAAGCCTCGTGATCTCCGCTTTCATAAAATTTCTTAATTTCCATCCATTCCATTGGCTTTGAAACCTCCTTAGCCCATGTAACGCAACGTGTTTTAAAATTTGATTTTAATTCATTCTGGCGTTCTTCTGGAAGAGCTGCGAAGTATTCACGAAGCTTGTCAATTATTATTTCAAAATCGGTTCCAGCCGCATCCAACTTCTATAAATCACGTTTTATTATAATTATTTTAAAGAATGTGATCGTTCACCTTCAAATGAGAAAGTTGGCTTTCATCAAGCCAATTGACGTACTTCTCAATTACTTGGAGATGTCTTCTCATTCTGTGATGATTGTGGTGATGATCAGAGTGGCTTCCATACCAGAGTTTTTCACAGAAAGGAAGGGATGCTTCGACTTGCTTTTGGCGTTCCTCAGAAAGTCGTGAAATGAATTCTCGAACTTTCTTTTTACATGATGCATGATCGACGTGATGAAGTTTATGAAGACTTTCAATTTCTTCTTTTGAAGCCACATCGTCCATCCATTTATAGCACAATTTCACAGTTTTTTCCTTCTGAGATGGGTCTTTCTCATGAATTTCAACGAACTCGAAAAGTTTCTTCTTGATCTCTTCTTTATCGGCTCCTTCGTTTGCCATTTTTTCGATTTCATCTTTCTGTTCATCTGTTAGCCAAGCTAGATGTTTTGCAATTTTGCTCCTAACGTCTCTCTTAGCCTTCTTGTCCTCCTTGTACACTTCGCCACAAACAGTGAACAGTTTTTCAGCCTTCTTTTTCGCATCTCCTTCTTGTCTTTGCACGGCTGATTTGATAACACTTGCTGCTTCTGACTTGTCTTCGTTAGCAATCAAACTTTTAATTTTATTTTTCTCGTCGTCGTTCAAAAGCGGAGAGAAAAACGCGCGGCATTTCCCTTTCAATTCTTCACGAACTTTTGATTGCTGCTCACTCGGCAACTTTTCGAAAAACGAAATAGTCTTGTCGCGAATTGCCATTTCGGAACTTCCCGCTGACTTTAGATCTTCAAGTTCTTTTAACTGTTCTGGCGTCATCCAGCTAATGAAATCTTTTACGGTCACATCGCGACGTCTTCGGCTCGATTCATCATAGACTTCTCCGCAAATCTTCATCAGCTTCTGAGCCGACGTCTTCTTGTCGCCTTCCAATCGATCAACGACCTGCTGAACGAGTTTTCCAGCAGCTTCTTTGTTTCCTTTCAGAGCTTTGATCTGCTCCAATTCATCCGAAGTCATCAATGGGCTGAAGAAATTCTAAAAATTGACTAATTTTCTCTTTGAGTTAACAATTACAAATAATTACCCTGCATTTTCCCTTGAATTCGTCCTTGAGCGTCTTTTGCTTTTCAGATGGAAGATTTCCGAAGAATGCTTTCACTTTGGTTCTAATTTCTTCTTCTGACTTTCCAGACGACTTCAATTCTCCAATTTCCTTCAATTGCTCGGGCGTCATCCATTGTACAAACTCCTTCACAGCGCTGTCGATTTCACGACGTCTTCGGCTCGATTCATCATAGACTTCTCCGCAAATCTTCATCAGCTTCTGAGCCGACGTCTTCTTGTCGCCTTCCAATCGATCAACGACCTGCTGAACGAGTTTTCCAGCAGCTTCTTTGTTTCCTTTCAGAGCTTTGATCTGCTCCAATTCATCCGAAGTCATCAATGGGCTGAAGAAATCCTAAAAATTGACTAATTTTCTCTTTGAGTTGGCAATTACAAATGAGTACCCTGCATTTTCCCTTGAATTCGTCCTTGAGCGTCTTTTGCTTTTCAGATGGAAGATTTCCGAAGAATGCTTTCACTTTGGCTCTAATTTCTTCTTCTGACTTTCCAGACGACTTCAATTCTCCAATTTCCTTCAATTGCTCGGGCGTCATCCATTGTACAAACTCCTTCACGGCGCTGTCGATTTCACGACGTCTTCGGCTCGATTCATCATAGACTTCTCCGCAAATCTTCATCAGCTTCTGAGCCGACGTCTTCTTGTCGCCTTCCAATCGGTCAACGACCTGCTGAACGAGTTTTCCAGCAGCTTCTTTGTTTCCTTTCAGAGCTTTGATCTGCTCCAATTCATCCGAAGTCATCAATGGGCTGAAGAAATCCTAAAAATTGACTAATTTTCTCTTTGAGTTGGCAATTACAAATGAGTACCCTGCATTTTCCCTTGAATTCGTCCTTGAGCGTCTTTTGCTTTTCAGATGGAAGATTTCCGAAGAATGCTTTCACTTTGGCTCTAATTTCTTCTTCTGACTTTCCAGACGACTTCAATTCTCCAATTTCCTTCAATTGCTCGGGCGTCATCCATTGTACAAACTCCTTCACAGCGCTGTCGATTTCACGACGTCTTCTACTGGAAACATCATATACTGAGGTACAGACATCTATGAGATAATCGTCAGAATGCTTCTCGTTCTCAAGATGATTGATGATGGACTGAACAAATTTAATAGAAGATTCCTCGTCTGCATATAAACGCTCAATCTCTTCAAACTCTTTCTGGGAAACGAGAGGTGCAAAATATTGCTAAAATCTTTTATACATATAATTGTTTTCGATAGAACAACTAACCTTGCATCGCCGAATGTAAATATTTTTCAATGCGTTTTGCTTTCTGTTTGGAAGTTCATAGAAGAATTCAATCATTTTAGCAATTCTCTTTCCTTTTCCGTTTTCCTCATATTTCAGTTCTTGAAGTTCCTCAATCTGCTCTAATGTCAGCCATTGTGAAAACTGATTCATATCTGAGACGTGACGAATCTTTCTTGTTGTGTACAATTTGTAACAATCATCCTATTATTATTAATATTATCATTTTTGTTGGTCAATTTACCTCCCAAAGTTCGACATTTTTTCTTTCTTTTTCGTCAACTTTATCCTTAAATGTCGCCACTTTCATTTTAGCTTCCTCAATATTTCTAGTTGAGAGCAAATCCTGAAGAGCTTGGAATTCCTCGTCGCTGGCAACTTTCTTGGCCCAATCCCAGCAATGTTTTCTGTAGAATGAATTCCATTCTGTCTTTTTTTCTTCTGGAAGAGCACTATAATATTCTCCAATCTTTGCTTTAAATTCGCCACTGGTTTTATCAAACTGAAATTATCTCATATGATGCGAATTGGCGACTTCTAATACCTTCTTCAGCTCGGTTTTCTGTTCTTCAGTCAGCCAATCGTGAAGGTCGTCAGTTTGCCTGCGATTCCTAAACCATTTGGTACTTTCATGTCAGTTATCATGTTTCGTTGAAATTATTTATCAAAATATGATTAAAAATAATCTTTTAAAGCATTAAAATTAATCTTTTAATGATAAATGAATTATAGAACAAAGTTCAAAACTATGCTTAATATTCATCATTGAAAATTGTGCTTCTTAAATTGTGGCTTGTGATTTCGGAAAAGAACATCGCATACTCGCGATATATCGATAATTTGCAAACTTTATCAGTGAAGCTAAATGAGATGGCAATTGGTACAAATGGTTTTTTTGTTATTTTTGTTTCAATATAGATCAAAGTAATATATTGTCAACGACATACGAATTTACTCAATTTGATTTGCGCGGGCTGCCAATTGATCGGTACGGTAAAATTGAATGCGATTATTTGACATTTTCAAAAATAACCAAAATGTTTAAAATTCATATAAAATTATGCTATTTCATGTTAAATTAAGCAAAACTTCTTTCTTTCCATACAAGGCCCAAGGCGGCAGTTCAAATGATACAGTACATGGCGCCTCAAATTATTTAATTTTTATTATTTTTCAAAATTTCAAAACACAAGCCCGGTGATTCAAAATTTGATTTAAACCGTCCGGATTCGTGCACCATACTACAGATAACCTGCGAATCGAACTCATGGGCATTTCTAAATTCCAGAAACGTGGGAATTCATTTAAAAAAAAACGGTAAAAATACAATGCAGCAAAAATTTTTTATTTCGTAAGCATTACCTTTGATGGTCATTATAGTTGATATTCCTTGCGATACTCAACTTAATTGATATCATTGATTATTTGGTGACAACTTGTCGCACTTACGGTAACACAACAAACCAGCAAAAATAAAAGTAACTTCATGTTGATCTCAACACGTCGGAAACTGAATTTTCGTTATCAGGAGGTCTATCTAAGTCTTCATTATCAGTTGTGTACGCATTTTGACAGCAGTTTATCATTTTATGACGGAAAGCCAAAGTGTTTTGAACAGATAGTGCTCATTATTTGCATCATTCTGGAATTTTCAACAACAAATACGAGATTCAGAATAACTGTTCATCAACACCGGCCAAATTTGGTCATACAATTAAAGTCATCTCAAAATCGAATAGAGCATTAATCACAACCGATTGAAGTATCGATTGAGAACATCATTATTTCCGTCTCTGAATCGACCGTAGAATCGAATTTCGCCACCACGAAGCATTTGGTCATTGAGACTAGGTTGCTCAACAGTTTGAGAATTCAACCTAAAAATATTCTAGTGAACAGAAGAAGTGTGAAACGGTCAAAATTAATTAATAACTAAACTTACTTCAAACTATTGCTACTTCCAAACCTCGAATATGCGTTGGAAAATGTGACGAGAACGATAAAAACGATGAGCAACGCGTGGTGAAGCATTTGTTCCTTCAAAATGACAATTAGGTTCGATTCAATATTTACATTTGGACGATTCACACGGAATTTAAATGAAGATATTTCTTGAAAACAATAACGAATGACGATATCAACAAAATAATTCTTAAGAAAAAATATATTAGAAAATATCGTCAATCAATCGAGATAATCTAAAGAAAGCACCGAAATGAAACACAAATTGTTGAAATTTGATGCGTAACAACACATTGTTACTCGTTTTTTTCAAGAATTTTTCTGTTTTTTTTTTCTTATTTCCTCCATAAAAAAGCGACAAGACACATAAAATTTAACATATTTCGAGAATTAGCATAATCAAGCGAGTCGCACTCGCTTACCTGATGTGAAATTCACGGCAATGGCATTCCGCGAGCAGGAGACAAAAAGCTGCCAAGTCGAATCACGTTGAGGCGAAACACAGCGCAACCTCGTCTAATTTCATTAGTTAGACGAGAAGTCCTGCAAGAAGCAAAAGTGCACATAAACTATATTCGAATAATAATTAAATTCCCAGGACGAAACATTCGGACATCTACATGAATATAGGGCAATTTTCAAAGGGAAAACTATGAAATGTGAGTTTAGATACAATATTTCGATTATTCGTTTGAAATAGACAATAGCCAGCTTGAAGTTTGAAAAGAAAAACTTAAGAAAAGAACGCCATTTCGCATTTTAATATGCAGTTTCATTCTTCTTTTTTAGGAAAAAATAAACACAATAAAAGACTTGTTTTTGCACTTTTTCATGAAGATTTCTCTTGTTTACTTCAAGAATTCTCTTTTCCTTTTCTGTAACATTCAAAATTAGGGGAAAACGTAGCCAACCGTGATAATATTATTTTTTCCCGAAAGTTACCCCAAATTGTATACGAAAACTGATAAATTTTCTTGAAACAATCTATTTAAGGTTTTTTTCAAATGTCATCTACTAATTGTTGCGAATTAAAATTAAAAAAAATACGAAATTTAATGTCAAATATAAAAGAAATGTCTTGTTCCAATAATAGAATAGCGAAAGAATAAACATGTTGAGATGAATTCGGCCAGAGATTTCTTCGTTTCTCATTAAAAGCCAGATGGGGGAACCTTCAAATTTCACATGCTTGGATGAATCAAGAAAAGAAAATTCATTTTGTGAGATGTTGACAGATGATTTCGGTGTTTGCTTCCTGAACGGAAAATGCGTGAAATATATCAAATGGAGTAAATTATATCAAGTGTTGAATATAGCGAAAAGAAGAAACAACGTATTTCAAATGCGGGAAAATGGGCGAGCGCTTTTGAAGAATCTTTTTAGCCGGTCAAATATTCGCCCGCGGGGATTCTGGGCGTTGGTTGGTTGTCCCGATGTCCGCATCTTAAACCAATCGAAGAGCCGGAACGAGAAGACGTCGAGATTCGGATTTTTAATTCAAAATAGGAAATAAATCAATAGAATCGAATAGAATCGGAAGAATTATACAAATCGGTTGTTATCTTGGAAGCGGCGAAACTAGTGAGTTTCGTCAAAACCAAGAAATGCACGACGAGTACGGTGTGCTGAGTTATAAGTTTGCCGAGATATAAATATGAAGTTATAACAAACAGCCATACTTGGTTAAATCGCTATCATGCTTATTATTGGAGTAAATAGAAATAAATATGGGTATTAGCTTCGTGTATTTCTTCCTCTTGAAACCATTTATTTTTTCAAATCAAACACTTTATAATTCGAACCTAAATAAAATTTTAAACAAATTGATTTTCGTATATCAGCGAATATGTATGTCATACACGGAAGTGAGTGACTAAAATTGTTAACATTTTTTAAAATTAAATTGTTTGTTTTATTATCAAAGATTTACTGAGAGTGATGCGACTTCTTTAATTTGTTACATTATTTTAGGAAGCGTCGTTAAAACAGATTTGATACATGAAATTTTTAGATTGCTTGAATCTCATAACTGTATAGTAAATATTTGATCGGACATCCTTGAGGTAACGGTGAGTAAAATATATCATATTACAATACTTTTTCAAGTTTTCAAACTAATTCTCACATCAAAATGAATGTCACAACTTCGTAGAATAAAAGAAAATTATAGTCGGCGTCCGGCGACTGCTGTACGCGGGTAGATTTACGCGTATGCGCCTTGAAAAGGTCTCGCCACGCATGAAAGCTTATTTTTCTGTTTTCACGTGAACTGCTTCATTTTTCTTGATGAGTTTCGCATTGTCTTGAATTACTAACGTCATACTATTAAAAAATTATCGAACCGGTCCATAAAATTTGAAATAACCTGTTAGTCCTTGCGAGACCATTTCGAAAGACGCATTCCCGTAAATCTACCAGCGTACAGCAATCGCCGGACGCCGACTATACCAAATAATTTAAAAATTAGCCTGTGATCGTGTGCCAGAGAGTCATGTCAAATGCATTTTTTTTTTCATTTCAAGAAAATTATCGTGTTTGGGTGGTAACTTTAATGAAGTTTTTAAATTTTTTGTGAAAAAATTCATTTCATGAATAAATCCATTAACAATTAATAAATGTTGTTAATTAGAAAAGCTTCGAAGATGTTCGCATTCATCGCGCAAAACGTTTCTAGAGCCGTCTAACAGCAACAAAAGAATTCTAAATCAACCACGTTCACATAATTTTGACGTTATTTAACTACTGTGTGTGGTCAAAAATTGTGTACAATTTCGTATGTGTGCGATGAATTTAATGAAACTTCCTGCTCGCTCGTGTGCGCACTGTATTTATTTATTTGCGTGTCACAAAGGGCTCAAATCGAAGAGAACGTCGCTTCTTCTCACCTTTCCTATTTCAATGTCCGTTTATTACTACTCCTTTCGTTCAATTCCGCCTTGCGTTCTCGCATTCATGATTTCAAGTAAATTAACCAACTCATGATTTATTCTTAAATTTATAAATTAATTTAACCCAAAGACGTTTGCAAATTTTAAAATGATGTTGTGAAAATTTTAATTATTTTGTTCTCTAATTTTTTGAGAATTCGTTTTGTATCGAATAAGACAAATTTCGGCTCCGAGGTGCGTCGTATTCGAGGGTTTTTTTTTCGAATTCTGTTCGAATGCACATGTATTCGATTCGAAAATCGTATTCGATTGAAAATTGCTTGTTTCACACACAATCGAATGCGCTCAGATTCGAATCGAATTACAAAGAGCAATCAAATACGAAAAATTTTGAACCTGAACCGGTCAGGTTCGAAGTCGAACTCGAAGCGATTCGAAATGAATTACCAGATGAATTGACTGATTCAAATAAATTTGAAATCCACTTTTCTTTTTGCAGTATGTTTATTTTTGTCTATCATGAGATTATCCTTAAAACCAGCGATTTGTAAACAATGCAAGTTAAGAGCAAACACATTTTCCGATTTTTTTTGTTCCACAATTTTTTATTGTTTTATCTATGTGATTTTGCGTAGTTATTTTTCATCAATCGATTCGTATTTTGTGACACAAATGAAGAATTCAACGAATGAGTAGAAATTAACCATACGGTCAACATAATCATAATTAATTGGTGAACACACGGGATGCGAAAGAGACATTGACGAGTGACCTTCGGAATGTTGAAAACCTGGACGATCAGATAAAAAATGGGAATTATACATTTGATGTTACAATAACTTGTTTTCAATTCCAGTTTTCCACAAATTATTTTAATGTTCCCTTGATGGTCTTTCATAATTTTCTCTAAACTTTATAATCTCTATGAGGCAATTTAAAAACGAATTTAATTGTTAATTATTAAAAGTGGTAATCAAGTGATTTCCGCGAAAAGTTTTTAGTACTCGATAGAATAAAATGAAATCGTTTGTTTCTATCTTTTTTAGATTTTTCCAATCACAACTGGCTAGCTTTAAAAACAATTTAGTTCATAAAGTCAACCTACAGCGTCTATTTGACCTTTTTGGCACCAATTTTTTTTCCGGCGGCGCAGCAGGTGTACACATTCATTCATCCAGAGTAATTACGAGGTGTGACCCGAACTCAAATCCATTGTTACTACTCTTTCTAACTTTTGAAGTTTTAAATACGCAATTATAAAACATTTTCAAATTTCCATTAGAATATCCTACTAGAGAAATCTAATATCGCGTGAAGATTCAAATTAAGATTGGGAAGGCAGATAGACTGGTTTTCTGTTTTAGAAATCTGCAAATCTCTAAATTAGAATATTTCTTTAATTAAGATGAAAACAATTAAAACGATTGTTTAAGGATTTGCGCAAGTAGTTCACGGCTGAACTACCGGCCTGTGGTGCGAATTAATTAGAATTAAATGCGTATTTTCGCAAGAGAAGATCCGAAATGTGTTCATCATTCCGTTGTATTTATTTTCTTCGTCGTTTACAAGAGAATTCATCCATTAATTTAATGTCATGAAATTTTAAATTGTCCATTTTGGTTACTTCGGAAAACGCCTTTATTTCCGATTTTGATATTCTTCCATCATTCTTTTTTTTGAATGTATAGCGAACTTTCTTTTTTACATTTTCTTTGTTCGTCATTTCAAATACCAACATCATCAACTTTCACCATACTACTGCAATTCAGTTTTTTTCGATCCGGATTCCGCGCCCACAAAACAACATAGGAGCGTTAAAATGGTTTTAAGAAGATTACCAGACAAGTTTGCCGTCATTCAATAAGATCTTTTATTTTGTATGAATGACTTCTACTTTTTCTTTTTTTCTATCCGTTGATTTTTTGTTTTAAAGAATATAAATCATTTAGAAGTGTGCATCGTTTATTAGTGTGGAAACTATGGCGTCTATAGATAAACGGCTTTAGCTTCTTTCCCGTTTTCCTCATTTTGATTATATCTTGACGAACAAAAGCGTATTCAGATCGACATGTTTCATTCATTTTCTTGAATTTCAAATTCGAGCAATTCAAAGCAAAATTAACAAACGGAGCTAATTATATTATAATTTTTAGGGTCTCTTGAAATTTGTATAACCTATTATTTTCTCAGCGACTTTCTCTTTTTTCAATAGTTCCTTTTCATTTTAATATATAGTTTATTTACATCTACTGTCGGGTCAATGCCACAGTTTTTTTAATAAAAAAAATATTTCGAGATTTTCATGATTGACCAACGTTTTTCGTTTTCATTCATTCATTCAATTAACTTCAACAATTGCACCCTTTTATAAAAAAATAGCCAAAAGAAATATCGCGTGTTGCTTTGTAAACTCTCATGTACACTGCGAGGATGATTACAACGCGATCGCTAAAACCGATGTACCGGATTTGTGTAAAAACACCTTTAATAATGCCATATCTTCTCGGCGTTGGTTAGTGTAAAAAACCAAGAAAAATGATTCGAATGATTCGAAGAATTATCACATTGATCACAAATTGTCGTCGTGCCAAAAACAAAAAATTTTGCGACATTTTTCTGTATCGTTTTGCAAAATTTTTACCATCGCCGCATTGATTTTTCTTATTTTTCATTGCGAATTCGATTCGACACGACGACGGTTTTTGTTCGAAAAAAATTGTTCTGTTATTCATTTGTTTTTCTCTTTAGAGGTTTGACCAAGCTATTAGAAGAGGACGGATTAAAGTTCCGCGAACATGCTTTCGGCAAACATACCGTTTTTTTTGTCTCGCAGCCTTTTTTCCACTAATATTTTGCTTAGCAAAACATTGAATATAAAATATAAAAATTGGACCCTGAATAATACAAATTTCAATGTAATAATGAAAATAAATAATAATTTGTTGCCCCAGGCTGTTAATTTTGAAGAAATAACTAAAATTGAGGTAATTTTGGTGTGTAAATACAAGTTCTTAGCGTTACCACATCTTCAAATTTTTGTTACAATTCAATCTCTTCTAAAAAAAATACAAATTGATTGTAATGTTTTGAACAACATCAGATAATATTTCTCCCGATGATTGATTTTATTTCCATAAAAAGTCATTAATTCCTCAGTGTTGCATTGCATTGCAGTCACAATCCATCGAAAACTATTTTTTTTTTTCTTTTGGTTCCTATGAATTGTAAAAAAAACGCAAAAAAAAAAACATTGTTTGTTTATATTTATAAAAAAATGTGTTGTCAATTAGGATCTCGTTAAATTAATTGCTCATAATATTTGTTAGAACGTCACAATTTTTCGAAGACAAAATTCTTATGGCTTTACTCCGCCATCATGAATCTTCACCAAAATAATGCGATAATTACCGTGGCGCTCGCCAGTAACGACAACCTAGCAGTAAAGTAGGCCGGCCGCAATTGCGCGTTTCACTTTTCCGGATTTTTTGTTCATTTGATATTTGCTACTGTTCGGCCCCATCGTCTTTCACAAATATTTGTGCAATGCTCCCGAAAAATGGGTGTTACTTGCAATAACAAGCAGGCGCACAGATAGACACTGAATTTTGTTTGGCATCTGTGTCTTACCAGAAATTTCGCTAGGAGTTCTGCTAATTTCCTTCTAAACTATTATATTTTCTTTCAATTTTTGATTCTTTGAGTCTTGGCCAAAAAATGAGAGCATGCGATATTGGATGCATTAAAATTCCCCGCCTTTTTTTGTTTTTCTCTTTTTTTTGCCAGCCGATTTATATAAATATTCGAAATTGGCTTCGTTTTCTCATCAATCATCCCTAACACTTTCAAATACAACCAATTTCAGCATGCAGAGTGTCAATCAAGTTCTCATAATGATGTTCATGGTTGTCGGATTTATAACCGGAAAGTCAAAATTTCCGGACCCGCCGATATTCGCGGCACCAGTCACCTATCCAAGCATTTGCTATTTACCACCGGATTCAGCACTCTGTGACAATTCAGCCACATCTTCCGAAATGGAATTGCTTACTCGCTTCTATTTTGATGTTACTACAGAAGACTGTTATCCGTTTGCAGTTCAGGTTAGATAACAATTTTAATCTATACTTTTTATATTCTACGAAAAAATAGAGGCATGAACATAAATACTTATTTTAAATTAATTGAGAATGAAGAAAAATGGTTGAAATTACAACTTTAAAAAATATCCGAGACTCAATTCATTACACTTTAAGGAAACAATTTCTGATCTATTGTAACAATGAAGTTAGGATTTCTTAAAATAAATCAATATCTAAGCAATCAATTAAATATTAATATTTTAAAAATTTATAAATTAATTCAGCTACTCACCATAATCATAGTTAAAAGATAAATTGGCTTCATAATTTTAAAAAAAAACTTTGATACGGAATTGATATTGAATGCCAATAAGAAAAAAATAAGAGATGCAATATCATTTTTTTCAGAAATGTGGCGGAAATCAAAATCAATTCATAACACGGAAACAATGCCTAGATTTCTGCAAATCGTCTAATTCATAATTGTTCTTCTCATTTCCATTGACAACCTTCGGGTCCTAACAATTTTCCATCGATACGGGTTGATTAAAATTCCCAATAAAATGTTTATTTTTAAATGGAAACCCTCAAAAACAATAAAACCCTCTGAATTGCAGATTAAAAGCCATATCCGGAACAATATAAATTATCGAATATCACATTAAAATTATTCGGAAAACAGATGTATTAGACGTAGATTCCAACCCAGAGAAGCAAAAAGAGTGTGCCAAATCCGAGGAAGAATGAGGCAGTGGTGGCAAGAGCAACTTCTCTTACAATATTGCGCGAAAATTTCGTAGCGGAGATCTAAAGACACAAAATTTAATTCTTTAGCCTTATCTTGATCTTATAATAAGTCAACATGAAGCAATTCTGGGCACTCAAGACAATTACGTCCATAAATACGAAAAACTTAGTAATTCAAATAACTCCAGTTTCTAGATTATTTTGCTTACTATCAGTTCTTCGATCTCTCATTCAACATGTATTAAGTTTTAACATTTAACGGGAAATGCGAATTGAGCGAAATAATTAATCTCGATTCTAATCCTCGTACGTTCGAATATCTTCAATGAATCTATCACTGAACTTAAAAAAATTTAAATGTATCCAATGCAGAAACTAAAAAATGCAATAACCACAACAATTAAAATAAAATTAAATCCACGAGACAGTTTTTTGCCATGCGTATTCTTTCGAAGTTATGAAATAATTTTTTGCTTATGCTTATATCCAATTTTTCTACATAATTTTACAGTTAGTTCGCGCGACATCATAGCGAAAAACACTTTCCCATAAAGTTACCTTCATAAATTAAGGGGAGAACGCCTACTATACGTTTTTGAATATAAAATAAAAAATAATACCGTAACTTTAAGAAATATACATGGAAACAGAGCGACCTCGTGCGTTTAGTCGTAATTAAAAAAAAATAGCCGGCAAACTCGTCGGGCGACACACGAAAACTTTAAGGATTTGTGCGAAACAAGCTACAGTGTTTGACCACCGCCCCGAAATCATTTCATGATCCGCGAACACAAAAGATGCTCGTATTTTCGCAAAAAAAATTTAAAAAAATGAAAGATTTTTTCCGGTTTGTATCATTTTTCATTGAAAATTTCGTTTCGTTGAAATCATCGTGATTCGCCCAATGAAGGTTACTACCTGATTAATCATGAAAAGTCCAAGGAGAAATAGACCAAATCCACAAAGAGTGACAGTCAAATGCGGAAAGCTGCTAACGGCAATCTAGAAAAAAAAACAATAAAATAAATAATGGAGTAAAACTTACCGGCGCTTTATAGGGGGTCATCTTGGAGAGATCCATGTCGACGCTGAAAAGTTTTTCGTACAAGGTAGATGGAATAAGCATAGGTAACTATTATGATAAGTATTATATCGATGTGAAACAAAATTAATAAAATCACACAAATTATGTAAAAATCTAAGTTTTATTCACAGGTTTGTAAAAGAGACGAAATGATAATACAGTTATGATGTTCGAATATTTACATCAGATAGCTTCATATTTACAACGGTAGGCGCATTTTAGAATTCTCGATCGGGAAACAAGGCTGGAGCAACGAGTGTCCACGAATAGAGGGCAACACAGAGCCAGGAAGACACGATTTTGACCCAAACCGATGCCATGTTGGAGTTCAAATGTGTCAAATCATTATCAGGTCTGCAATTGATATTTTCATTATTGAAGATATCTTAAAAACGAGGAAACATACTTATACCAAGATGTCAAGGTCATCATGACGTATAGAGAAGCAAGAGCGAACATGAAATGAAAGAAACTGTATGAGTAGGCAACGCCTTCGGTTTCATTATCGATTACTCGCAAGTCATTTTGAGATTCGGTGTCATCTGAATAAAAAAATTAAAAATTCATGATGACTGCGAAACACATGCAAAACGGACAAAACACGTAAACAATAATTGAAAAATGCTGCGACTTTTAAAAAAAACGACAAAAGGATAATCATGCACGAACCACTACTTTTAAAGACAGCTGACGAACTTAGTTGCATATTTTCTTCCGAATTTGTTCCTCCGGTTATTTTTCCAAGTGAAGAATTTGATGAATTACGAATTGAAGCGTACAGAACACAGGCGAACCATAGAAAAAGTGAGATGATGGATTGAGCTGGAAGAGGAATTCCATAATGCTGAAAGTAATAAATAACACATTCGTGATTTATTAAAATTCCTTTTTACCGAATCATCCTTGTGACTTGGATCAGTAGTATTTTTAGTGAAAATACTAATAAGAGATGGGTTACACTCCTTATCAGGATTGTTGATTAAAGCGGCCCAGGTTAAATAGATAACGTATCCAGTAATCATGACAGCTTGTATCAAACCGGAACGAGGCATACGCTCTTGAACGAACGGAGCCATTGAAAGAGCTGTCAAGCCGATACAGAGAAGAGAATTGAAAATAATGAAGAATCTTGGAAGTCCACAGCTTTCACCGCTTGTATAGAAAACGAGCATGAGAACAACGCATACGATGGCAACGGTGAATCCACCAAATGTTATTCCCAATAAACCAGCGTAGCAATAACGCGAATCGCTTTCTTCATACGAAGTGATCCAAGAATCAGCGACGCCATGAGCGAAATCAACAATAAGAATGAGTTGAATGAGTATAAACAAGAATCCTCCAACCATTCCAATCCACATAAGCGCTGAAATTTTTCCATTTTTATAGGCTTAACGAATAATTTCTTACGAGTAGAAAGATTTTCGCTCCTAATAAAGAAAAATCCAACAATCAAAGCGGCTAGGAGGAGATATTTGAAGAACCAGAATCCATTTTGAATCGAAGATCTTCCATCTTTCGAATCTTTAACACCGAGCATAACTATCATGAAGATGAAGAAGAATGATGCTGTTGCAGCACAAACTCTGTAAACCGCCTGAAATCCTGTGGCGTGGGCACAGGTGATTCCAGCAATTTCATTCAAACCTTCGCAGAACCATTTATTCTAAAAATTTCACGATTTTTTCATTTAAATAAAAAAAAAACTCACCTCTGCTAGTTTATTTTGTATTCCCGGCATTAGCATTATGCACGACAAGAATGTGCTAGCGAACAACAAGAACGCGTACATAATTCGAGTTGTTGTCGAGCTTTTCGTTGTTGGGCACATTGAGCACAACGAGCACGCAGCACTTCCAAAGCAACATGCCGCCTTAAAATAATTATGTTAATTTGAAACAAATTAATTATAAAAACTTACCGAAGCAGCACATGATGGAGCAGCTAGAAGAGCACCCATGCTTCCTAAAGTTTAAACCATAAATAAAATTGAACACAAAAGGAGAGAACTGATTATTGCACAATAACTTTATTAAAAAGGGAATTAACATATTTCCATTTAAAAAATATAAAATAGAAAAGCAATATACTTCTGTTTTCGTGTGTTTATCAAACAACAACACTTATCGAAGGTAAGCTGCTTTTAAAACAGCGTGACCATGTTCGACGTCACATGAACAATAAATGCGCAAGCGTCGAAAAATGCGCCAATGCATGCCATTCTTGCGCATTTTAAAATGTTCGAAATATGTGTCAGTGTTCATTCGCTGACATTTTCATTTTTGATGACATTAAATTTCCCTCTGATTTTTATATTCATTTTTTCTAAATAATTAAATAAAAATTCAGGCAAGTTAGGTGAGGAACCGATGAGACGCTTTTATATTAATATTGTAACATCGACAAAACCTGAAATAAAAAATTGGTTTTAGCCTACTCATTTTGTATTAATATTGCATACGCCACCCTCGAACCACAATTACCATGCTTACATTTATGGACTTATTCATACTATAAAACTTGTAAAAGTTACATATTTCTCTAATGCAGATATGTAAAAATGCATATTTAATGTAGTTTTTAAATATTTTTTGTAAAATGAATAGATTTCATTCATAAGTTCATTACCACCACACACCATTTAATAATATTTTAAAGATGTCACTTCTCAAGCTTTCAAAAACTCGCGAAGAGGATTTGTTGGCAATTGACAATAATGATGAGATATTCGAGCAATTTCATCCGGCTCCTCTGGCCACGAAGAAAGATCTAGATGCTCCCAAAATGGTAAAAATCTCTGGGTTTATTAAAATATGTATATATTACTTATTTTAGCCAAATACGATTGTCCCACATGAGCTTCTTGCCGAAAATTCTCGAATGATGCCTAAATTGGAGAATTATCTCAATGCACAAAGACTTCTTATTGGAAATGCGCAGACAGAGCAATTTCTTTTGTAAAATTCTTATTTATTGTTAAAGAATGTGCCATATATTTTAGGGAACTTAATAGCGCATCTCAAATTAATCGTGGTCCAGATGGAATTTTTGAATCTTCTCGTCTTCACTGGGATATGCTTTTGAATCGCGATGAGACCATCTATCCTTCCGACTATCTCAATTTTGACGCCAAGATGAAGCGCTAATTTGTTCAATAAATAAATTATTTCATTCCTTTTCATTTTTTATATATTCCGGTTCATTCCCGATTATTTATTTCTACTACTAACACTTAAAATTTTAAATGTTAATTTAATTTTTGAAATTCTTTCAGATGATACCCGGACAGAGAATGCCGATAAATGGCAAAATGGAAAATCCTATGCATTTGTCATTTAAAAATCCCCAATGGCCGCCAAATTTTATCACAAGTGAAAACGTTCTCGAATATTTTTGCAACCCATCAAACGCATTCTACGACATGGCATCATGCAATCAGCAACTGAGAATGCAAAACATCAACAGGCCAGTCGAGGAATGCTTGAGAAGCATGGCTGGTACACAATACGTTCTTTGGCATGCTCAACCGCCGTTATTTGTCATTTGTAAACAAAGAAGAAATAATACACTAAACGGTGATTCAAAAATATTTACGGGCCATTTCATTGCAGAAAAAATACGAAAAATTGGTTCCGAAAAAATGAAAAAAATTTGACTGCTAATTCTCAGTTTTGATTCGGTCCGTGCCAAGTTATATAAATATTGTCATCGCAAACGAGCGTGTGTGCTAATTTACGGTGAGTGTGATTCGCTGGTTAGTACGGTATCCGAACTCCACATTTTATATTCAAATTTGGATTTCAGCACCGAGAAATACGATAGTTTTTTGTTAAATGTGCTCGTTTTCGCGATGGTACAGTCAGCGTCCGTCGACTGATGTATGGGGGTTAGATTCACGGGCGCTGTGGTCTCATACGTATTAGGTTATTTCGCCGGACTCTAACAATAATATGTAGTAGAAAGATTCGGATACTGTAGCTAATGGCTCATAATCTCCATTTGTGCGTCAGGTCTTGGCGCCGACGATTCAAAATTTAGAATTAGCCTTCGATTTTTCTTTGCCTTATTTTTCGGAAACAACATTTTTTTAAATTTTTTCCGCAATTAAACCGTTTCGTTATGCTTATCTAAAAAACGTTTTCTTATTCTAGTAACTCCACTGGCCTACTATTATATTATTAACGGACTTTGCCTTCAAGCACCAGATATGTATTCTGTAGTCCAATCGAAGTTGCTAGGGGCCCTCGAACCGCTTCGAAATGCATTCCAAGAAGTTACAAATTATTCCAGGTGAAAATTGCATAATATTTTATGTGAAATCGAATTTTAATTATAGATATAACGCGGCCAAAGGATATTACTGGGAATTCAAATCAAACAAAGGAAAGAAAAAAGAGGACGAAACGGTTTCAATATATCAGCGTATCAATAGTGTTATTACGAAAATTACAGAAGGATGAGGAAAAAATGAAAGCTGAAAGAGCGACGATGTTCCAACAAACGCGCACCAATATGATTCTCTACCAGCTGCGCGATGAAATGCCTCCAGAAGACGCGCTGGAACCAGAAATAGAAAAAGCTAGTGATGAGGTTGAAGAGTTATCACACAACGAATAACTTTCTTTTGAAATTAGAACTTAAATTTTATGTCTTATTCACTTCAACGGGTAATTATTTATTTTCACATTTTTATAAATTTCTTAAATCATTTTGTTATTTTAAATGGTAGAATTGATTTATGCGGACTCCTCGTGGTTGTGGTGTTGCATATGTTCGGCTTTTCTCTTTTCGACAAAGGCATTGTAGGCATCCTAAATAATTTCACATCACCAGTAATTCGAATAAATCGCTTAACCTGATCAGATTGCGGCTGAGTCTTGATGAACTCTTGAACTTCATTGTGGAACGATTCAAAAGCCGCCTTGGCGACTTCACGGTCAGATTTTCCTTGTTCAAATTGGTCTTTGTATTTTTCAGCTATCGAAACAATTCCGTCAGCGGTTTCAGCTGATACTCCAGCATTTATGAGTTCTTGCTTCGCTTCATCGGCTGATGCGACGGAAATCAGTTGAATGCATATTTAAGCAAAGTTACCGGTGGGTGGAACTGGATGAGCATTAATTGTAAATACCATAAAAGTAAGGAGAATTAAAAATTTCGACATTGTATGGAAGATTTTAAAAATTGAAAGACGAAATAACTTTTATCCTTTTATATATGGTTCGTGTGCCAGTGCTGGCATATTGACAAAACCAGTCACACATTCGACAATTATGGGATGGATTATGTTTTTATATACATCATTTCTACTACAAATGTTGAGTCATGAGTCACACAAATTTAGTTGTGTGATCAAGGGTTGTAGATTATGTGGTAATAAATCACGAATTCCGTACTGGTGGAACGACGGAAGTTTTACACCATTAAAGAGGTGGGGTAACCTTTAAAAATATATCGGATTAAGAATTTTATTTGCCGAAGATACACATACTTCGAGATCGATTTTTGCGCGACGAATTAACGTAGAATTAACGTTTTTTTTTCCGATTTCTTATCGACATTTTATAACCGGCGTCCGGCGACTGCTGTACGCGGCTAGATTTACGCATGCCCCTTTCGGAATGGTCTCGCCACGTGTGAACGCTTATTCTGCCGTTTTCACGTAAGCGATTAATTTTTTCTTGGTGAGTTTGGCATTTATTGGAATTTCTAACGTCGTTCGAACCGACCGATAAATTGCAAAATAATCCGTTGGTCCGCGAGACCAAGAGAAATACGCATCCCCGTAAATCTAACAGCGTACAGCAGTCGCCGGACGCCGACTGATATTTTCATACTTTTGAAGTTGCCCCTCCCGCTTTAAACAGCAGAAAGAGGTCTCCGTTGTTTGTCCCAAACGCGAAAAAATCGCCACCGTTTCTCCCGCACGGATTGCCGAGACAAAAACGATTGGTGCGTAAGGTGCGAAAAAGAGGTCCCGAAATAGGGGAAATTTATGAGACCTTTGACAGCTATGTCATGTTGCGAATGGTGAGACACGTCGTGCGTTTAATAGCAAAGTGGCAATACATTCTGATATGAATTGGACGTCGTCGAATCGGTTTCGTATGAAGGAAATGAAGAGATAATCATCCTTGCTCTGCGAGTTATCCAATTCGTTATAGGGTAACGGTGAACAGCGTTGGCCTCTGATCCTTTTGCTTTTTTGCACATTCTCAGAATAGCGTTTTTATTCTATTCATCAATATTCCAATTGTCCCACTAGTTTTATTGATCTATTCATGTAATAATAATTCATATATGTATTCTGCGAATTGAAAGATATTTTTGAAAATAAATGTGGCTACCATAATTATTTACCGCATTCAAGAAAAATGTTCTAAATTCGAAATCTCCCTAAATATTCTTAAAAGTCGGTGACATTGGGTTTTTAACAAATGTTCCTGCATCACAAACATTTTCCAAGTTCTTATTATTTTGTCAATATTCAGTTTCTTAAATTTACTAACTTTGAATATTTCGAATTTCGCTGCATCAGGTTGATACAGCTACAACCAAAAAAAATCCAAATGATTCGGCTTTCTCGAGCCCTTGCGCAAGCTCTTCTAAAAGTACGCACAAATTCTGCTGAGGATTGTCAAAGTTTGAACACAAGATTCTCTAGAAGAACTCTTCGTCTTCAAGCCACAATTGTTCCTTGGATGCGTGTGGGTCGAAGAAAGTTTTTTCATGAAACATCCGGTGTTCTTGATTTTTTTCGAAAGAAATTATCGTCTTCTTGGTGATTATGTAGAATCTCTTCTGCTCGTCGTCATCTACCTCCACTGCACGTTTTTCTATTTTACTTTTTTAGAAAACCTATTTAGCATCATTCAAATTAGTTTAAAAATAGTTATTCAAATTAGTTTTTTTTTGTTCAAATTACGCATTGAGTAAAAATGACAAATTCGTCGATTGCAAAAAAAAACTAAATAACGGTGTGATGATTTTAACTAACGTGTGACTTACTTTCTTCGGTCTTATTTCGATTTTCTTAATAATGATGGACCCAACTGAACAAGCGGAATTGTTCAAATAAATTCAGAGGAAATAAATTGTATGATTCATCGATTTAGATTAATATATGATACCATAATAAGATTAATAAATAATTTATTCTTGTTTGTGATGGTCGTGGAATTCTTGCTTCTTAGCCTCAACGAACTTTTCGTAGGCCTGTTGATCAGCTTCCGATTGTGTCTTGAGGTACTCGTCAACTTCTGTCTTCATTGTTTCGAAGGCAGCGCGTGCGGCTTCCTTATCATCCTTTCCTTTGGCAAACTCCTCTTTGTGCTTCTCACCAATCTTCACGATCTCATCGGCTGCAGTTTCGCTAACTCCGGCATCAACAAGCTGTTTTTTTGCCTCTTCGGCTGAAATGGGGAATTAAAAAAATGAGCAATCATTTCACTTGCTACCAGTTGGGAATGGCGGATGAGCAAAGGCGAAAGCAGCAATGCAGGAAACAAGTACGAGAACTTTGAACATAATGGATCTGAAAATTATATTTCAGATATTCGGAAACGGTAAATAATTTGAATTTTGTTGTCTTTTCGTCCATTCAGCACAATCCTTTTATAGTCAATCATTTCATAACTCTCCTGCATTTTAACTGTCAAAAACCGGTTAGCAGTTATTAAAAACGATAATTGAAATCTGTTCAATGAAACGATTATAGCCTGACGTTTACAAACAATTGAACCAGAACTTTCTAGTTAAACTTTGATCAGTGCCAAAGATCGCTGAACACGATTTTGAACGCCGACAAGCAGTTTTTCTGAGAAATCATTCAGGCCCGCAATTATTCGGCAAGACAGCTTTGAAAGCAGCAGAGAGTTGCAGGCATCTGACTAGAAGAATCGGTATCCTTTCAGAAAGAAATCCAAAGCTGCTAGGCTGCCTTCAACAATGGGCACTCTATTAGGCTTTTGGAACATCTTACTATGGAGAAAGAACGTGTGTTGCTTTTCAAGAAATATATCCTGCCAGCGATGATGTGCCTGAAAAAGCATGACCATGCTACGCTTAAAAATTTTTTTTTCGAAGTTTACGGAAATTTCTCGCATATCCGTGATGCACGGATTGGTTTCGATCCCAAGGCCGAGCACGCGGAAAACAGAAGAAGCGAAAGATCGACGACATCAATGAAACCCAAGAAATGTTCCACGGCCAACAAGTATCACAAGGAAAATTGTAACAGGAAGACGACGGCGAGGACTGTTCTCAACTATACAAATTATTTTGTCTAACAGATGTTGGAAGATAAGCAATTTTCGGAAATTTTTTAAAACATTTTAAATCAAAATTAGCTTCTCAGGCAACACGTTAATTAGAGCTCATAATCAAATAATCAAAAGATCAACAATTAAATATGGCAATCGCAGGTAATCATTTGAACTTTCGCGAACTACATCGCTTCACACAATATTTTCAATGATTTAATCAATATTTTTTCTTGGTTTATGATTTCTGTGATATGTATTCAATATCACTATTACTTCATATTTCTGCAAATACACATACAAATTACGAATGTAGATGTTATTTCAAATATTGCATCATTCCATGATTCCCAGCTCGGCCTTCTTTTTCTCAATAAACGCCTTGTAAGCATTTTGTTCTTCTTTCGATTGCTTCTCAATGTACGCTCCAATGTCCTTCTGAATCTCTCCGAACAATGCCTTTATAGCATCATGGTCATCCTTGATGGCGAGAAATTTCTCCTTATACTTCTGGCCGATTTTGACAATTTCGTCGGCAACTGGACCACTAACTCCAGCATCAACCAAAGATTTCTTTGCTTCTTCACGAAACAAACCTTGCAGTTGTGTGAATGAGCAATGCAAACAAATGAAGAATCACTTGAATTCTGGTGTTGTGGTGAAATAATTTCTTCTTGATTATATAAATCAATGCTGCGATTTGCAGTGGAAATGCAATTGGGATTATCGACAAATTCAAGATGAGCGATAACTTCAGAGGAAACGACGTGGCGAGCTCTTCCATTGAAACGCAATCGTCTGGGTTCATTCTGAACAATTCAGTTCGAGCAATAACCAACATTTATTTTTTACTGATGAATGTCATTCATCAAATACAAACGAAATTAAAAATTATTTTCAAAATTCCATTATGGGCATTTACTTTTTGTGTCTCCTTCGACAATCAAATTAGTTTTTTTTTTTAATTTTGTGCTTCATACGTCTTCTTTTCGAGATTTCTCTGACTTTAAACAAAACAAAAATGAAGAAATTCACGTATGAATGTTTAATTCAAAAAATCATTCGTTTTGCTATGGGAAAGTGGAGAAGCTATGATATTCAATTTTAGAAAAATTTATTTATGGAAACTAAGTTTGCGAAATGAGAAAATGCAATTATGGGAATACGAAATGAAACAAAGAACTATCATATATAATTGGTGCGTCTGAAATGTTAAAAATAAAATGTTGAATGAAGTACAAATATCAAAGTTAGTATCTCGTAGTTTGCTCGATTAATATATATAACTTATAATATTCATTTATCGTTTTCCTGAAATATGAGTCTCAGAAGTCATAATCTGAAAGCATTTTTTTTATTTTTCCAATAACTTATGCAGTTAAAAAAAGTGTGATTTAATATTTATCCAATCTTTTCGATGTTTTCTCCATCATTCTCAGTTTCCCCCAGTTTACCTGGCTACGAAAACAAATGATAATTCTTCAAAATGTCAGCATATTTGCACATAAATATGAACAAAAAAGAAATCAAAACAATCTTTTGATTTTTTTTTATTGAAAAATATTTCATATGAAAACGGGAAACTAGAGGGGTCAACGATTTTTTGCATAAAAACTTTCACGCGCCCGTTTAAAACAGACATCCAGTTAGACAAACGTGTTGTTGGTTTGGACAAAAACGAACTGTTTAAAAATTCATCGTAAACCCCGTACGGGCACATGAAAAGTGGGTGCTAAAATCGGGGGGAAAGCAAAAAAATGAGTGCAAGAATTCACTGGCCAACTACAGATGTAATTCTTCTTGTCGGAAACGATTATGAAAAAGACTGGTTGAATGAAAATAATAATGTTGAGTGTAAAAACTCGCATTTCTCAAATCGAATTTCTCAACCTAGTTCATAATCGAATGTGTTCAACAAACACGTGTTTTTGAGCGAAAATTTCAAGTACCTGATGGTCTGTTGGATATTTACAGTGCATTGCAGAATTATAGATCAGCTCGCGCCGACCGATAATTTCGTTACTTTTATTAGGTCTAGAAATTAATTTCCGCGTTTTTTTTTTCTTGTTGATATTTTATCAAAATGAAATTATTTTTATATAACGAATTTTACGTTATAATGTTCTCTGTATTATCAGCTTTCTACTTATATATATAACATTCTTCACGTACTTTATAAAAAATCATTATTATGGGTTCAGAATATGTCCACCTTTGAGCCAGGAAAACGTCAATTGCGGGAACCTCTTCTTTTCCTTTTCCAACCTAACAAGAAAGCCACTGACGCGCACCAAATGCTTGCCCAAGCTTACCGCGAGGCTGCAACATCTATAAGAACTTGCCAAGAATGGTTTCAGCGTTTCAAATCGGGACCGATCAGAACAGCCAAAAAATTTGAAGACGAAGAACTTCAGGCTTTGTTGGATGAAGATTCGGCACATGCGCAGGAACAAATCCTTTTGGACAGATTTCGAAGAAAGTCTTTTTTACACTACGAGTGTACTACGACAATCAGAAGCGAAGAAAATCATGGGTTAGTCCCGTGAACCGACAACTGCGATCGCAAAACCAAACATCCCCGGGAAGGTCTTACTGTGCATATGGTCTGACCAACAAGGAATTCTGTACTCTGAACTGCTCCAACAATCACTGCGAATCGCTATTAACATCAACTAGTGCAGTTGCGGCATGAAATCGCAGTAAAAGGACCAAAATGGGCGCTTCGACACGAAAAGGTCGTATTGCTTGATGACAACGCAAAAGCCGCATGGTGCTCAAGCGGTGAAGGATACGCTGAAACAGTTTAAATGGGAAGTCTTACCGCCCACGATGCACTCTCCGGACATTACCCCGTCTGATTATCATCTTTTCCGATCAATAGCTCATGGTCTGGCGGAGCAGCGCTTTCGAGATCATCAAAACGTCAAAAAATGGCTAGATGAATGGACTGCGTCCAAACCAGAAAAATTCTATTATGATGGAATCCATAAGTTGTCAAAACTCTGGGAAAATGTTGTTATTAATGACGTAACTTATTTTGAATCAAAGTTTTGTTTAAGTTTGCCAGCTTTTATAGTTTAATGTACGAAAAAAAAACGCGGAAATTAATTTCTAGACCTAATATTATGTTAGAAAAAAAATAAATTAATAACATACCAAATATACCCGATTTGATAACAACATTGCTCTAAAACAAGGTCTGAATGAAAAAAGATGACGACGATAATCGAAACAATCAATCGTCACCTATGCCGAATCTCGAATCATTCCCTACACTAGAAGGTATTTTACCCGACTCTCGGCGTTGAAAAAAATATAGAAGAAAAACAACAAAAAAAGCGAACGAAATTTTCGCAAATTTGGACTTTGTAATTGTGCAAAATTGTATGGAAAAACCTTACCGAACTTCTGGTGATCTCCATAAGTTTCGGACTTCCGGAATTCCCGAATCACACGACTCTTCGATCATTGCGCAAATTCTCAATAATCAACAATCAAGCCTTCTCAATATTTTCCAACAGAATGGGCGGGAAACTCATTTTAAGCATGGGAAACTTGCACTTGAATTGCTCGTTTTATGTTAGTAGAATTTTGATTTGATTTTATGCACAATGTTGAATGCTTCGAGTTTCGAAATTAAAACAAAAATTGTACATATACATATATGTTTTTATTTATTTATATTTATATTTTCATTCATCGAAGAAGAAGTTAGAGAAGTACGCAATCATGTTTAATGGGTAATAAATATTACCTACATATGTTTGAAATTTGGAGTTGAAACATCATCTCAAAAAAAATTATGCCTAAAAAACCAAAAGTTCATTGATTTTTAGCGATACTGGATATGAAAATACGTTACAATACATATAATACATTTACAATATATGACATTATAAACCGTTTACTGAATAAATCTAATGGAATTCTGTTGAAACTGGAAAAAACATTTCGAAAAACAATAAAAACCTTAATAATCATATGCAATTAACAGAAAAACACATTAAACCTGTTTTTTTAACAGTATTTGGGTTTTTTAATTTGTCTACTGACATATTTAAAAAAGCAAGTCAATTATTAATAAAGCATTTTCACAGTGTTATTTGTCCTGGTTGTTGTTTTAACAGAAACCACAACGGAGCACTGAAAAAGCTGAAAACCGTATTTTGCTAATCTGATATTTTCTTAAACTGACGTTTTTGATATTTCGATTAAAAACTAAATCGCGAAGAGTTTTTTGAGTACCGAGAAATATTGCAAGGTTCACTATTCCCTGAAATAAAAATGAAGATTTTAATGAAAAAATAATAATAAAACCTTATTCAAATTCATAATATACATAACTTTCGAGTTAATAAAAGGCGAAAAGTAAGTGATGATATCAGGCACTGTGAATAGACAAATGGTACTGCCAGTTATCAATACAACTGTTTTTGTCAGAGCTATCAATTTTTGCGCATTTTTCGTTGAACCCATTGCAATTTTTGCATGTAGTTTGTAATTCTGAAAATTCCTTATAATAACGAGTATTAACATATTGTCATAAGTCGTATTCAAGTCGCGCGACTGCGGACCTGTAGAGTTGGCACATGTTGTCATGTGGTTCATTGTCCTTGCGGAATACGTGGTCTCGAGACGCAGTCGCGCGATTTTAGCAATACATTAATTTTAAACATACGATACACATTTTGAGGAATATCGGGACGTAGATGAATACACAGGCAATTGTTGATATGATTCGAATGGTTCGGTATAGGACGTATTCGCGGACATTGATTGCTTGGTTCAAATGGCAATTCATAGTGAACTAAAAAATTAATATTGTCGACATCGCGCGATTGCGGAAAATTGGCTAAATGCCAAACATTTAAAGCTAGGTCTCGATGCGGTGTGCACCTTTTTTTTTGTTCTTATACTTACGCCCGTAAATCAACCCTTTTAGTTTTGCACCAAGGCCACTGCCATTAAACTTTGATTTTTAGTCAATATTCTGCAGACGCGCGACGTCGACAATTAAATTTATTAATTTCTTAAATTCAACCCATTTAAATAATTTGTTAAAAAGAAATAAGAAAATTATTACATTGATTCGGAAAACATTGGATTCATCCCAGTGAGGATGGATGTCACCTGTAGTCGTCCAGCGAACATGCTCTCTCTCTCTCTCTCTCTTTCATGGGAAATGAATTAATGAATATATTCATTCAACAACAACAAAACGAATTCTTGGATTTGAATGGGGGGGATGATAGTCTTCAATTGTATGAAAACCAAAGTATTAGTCATTAGTCATGCTCTTTTCTTGCGAAAAATCATGAAAACAATTCATTTTATGTATAACAAAATCAAGACTCACTGTTATGTTCTGAGCATTTTCACGCGCTCCCATTGCACCAGGAATCCAAAGAGGTATAACGACCAAATAAGGCAAATACATCATCAGATAGGCATATTCATGATGAAAATGGCGAATGTAATAAATTGGAAAAAAGACACAGATGAAACGATCAATCGCAGTTGCCAAAAGCACAAGACCCGCCATAGTAGTAATTAAAATGAATAACTGATTATGTGGTGTCCAGAAACAATCCCACATTGATACTAATGGAAAATCTGAATGATATCACATACGAGGATGACATTAAGGATTTCTAACATTCATATGCCAATACGACAATTAATCGATAAAGACCTGCACTGAAATATGTCAAACCGAAGAATATATCGAAGAATAGACAAGAACCGAGAACTATAAATCTGAAATTATTATTTTCACTATATAATGATTGAAAAATTTCAAATATTTTCGTTTTTTTTTAATAATTTTTTTTTAACACTTCTTTTAAAAATAAATTCCTAATCATCAATTGATTTTGCAAAGTTCATACATATAACCTACTCTTTTTGATTTCGAATTTTACTATTTGAAAATATTTTTAGAACCAAGAAAACGTTGGTAGTAGTAATAACGAAACCTTCAATAATATATAGTGCCAGAAAAATCTGAAAACGTTTATTATACTCTTCATTTGTTGAATTTATCACCTACCTTGTCATAGCTGGCTGTTTGGACATTAGAAAAAATCACCATGTCTGCAAATATTAACTGAAAAAAATCTAGACAAAAAGGTGGAAGTAAATTAAATTTATAATATAATGGTTTTATTTATAATCTTATGACTTAATAATGTAGGCGGCGGGTTGTCAGAAATTGGCAACACTCCAGCGTGACTCGGTAATTTTATTCGCGTTTGCTACTAACAATAAATGAGAGTTGGTTGCAATGAACTTTTCTTTTATACACAACCCGGATTCAATTATTTTCTCTGAAACGGTGGTTCACAATTTCAAACGAACTCGTTATCTCGTATTGAGGGGACCCCAACAAAGTTCGCGAAAACAAATCGGCTGAGCTCAATGAAATCATCAACATATTTTATTCATAAAACAAATTAAAATTCTAATTAGTTTAGCATTTGAGACCAATCAGTGCAAAGCCCGTTCGCCTTCTTTGCGAACCAGATTTTGTGGAAAAAATTGTTATAAGTGGAATGTTTTGTTTTATTCAGAAGCAAATTCTTGAGATAAATCCTCCGCCTAATTTAAATTAGAGCATAACTGTAAACCTTCCTAGGAAAATGTATGCAAAGAGTATGCAAAAAATTGACGCGATCTGATACGTCTGTTGATACATGCAATTAACGAGGCCACATTCAATAATAATCGGCACGTTTGAGTGTTGATCATGATGCTTTTAAAAGTAACCATAATTTTAGAAAAGGATTTTATTGATTGTTAATAAATATATTCTCTATTTTCGATTACAATATCAAATATGATCAATGATTGGCTGCATATTTAGAAACACCAAAATAATCGACAATAATCAATAATAAGAAATATAAGGTTGGTGTGCGATGGGGTGGGGCTGCGGGGGCATCTCTAAACTCTAATTCCTGACTTTTTGCGTTTCAAAAATACTCTTCTAGTAAATATTTTTATTTGGGATTTTTCGAGAAAATTAAAAAAAAACGCAATTTTTGGTGAATACTTTTTACAATCTGTGAAAAAAACGAAATGAAATGGATACAGAAGGAACAAATATCTGAAAACAAAAAAAAAACAAATAAAAACGCTTACAGGAAGAATATTTTTGAAACTAAAAACACGTGGATATCTCGCTGGTAAAGGTGGGTGTGGAGGTGGGACAGTTTTTCGCTTTTTCGATTTTTTTCAAGTTTTAACTTTTTTGGGAAATAAAAACAACACAACTACAGTTTGGTTGAGTATGCGCGTCACCGAATAACATCGTTTAATCCCTATAAAGAATTTCTAATCGTTAAACCCTAACTTCCCGGGAACAGATCACCTTACAAAGGTGGAATCGGAGATTATCACAGGTAATTCAGATTCAGAGAGTAAGAGAACAAAAAATCTGTTGTTACTTATTTTTTGGCGTTTTACAAGATTTTTAAATGGCAACATGAATATTAATGGTACAATCTTTGGATTAGGAAAATTAGGTTCTGTTATAAAATGTGAAAGTGGGGTAGTGAGTATGATGAAAGACTTATTAAGGTAAAATCACTTTTTTTTTCTCATGAAAACTGTGGCTGTACCAGCTTTTCGAATTGGGGTGATGGCGTCCGGATTTCAGGGACCGTCGACAAATGGAACCCCGACGGCGATTTATTCATCACGTCTAGAAATAACGGACGTCGAGAAGATGTTCGCGACGAGTTGGACGGCGTTGTAGAGGAAAAATGTGAATCGGCTGAAAGTTGTCGGACCATCAAACGGGATCGCGATGTTCTGAAACAAATAAACTCAAAATTGTATTCAAGCGCAAGAGAACATACTCAACAACTCTCACAGAGGTACCAAGAACTGACTTCTTGTGGAAATTCCACTTTCTCAACTCTCCACTGTATTGCGTGTCGTCCATTTCCACGTAACTATCAGGTTCGCACATTCTCTACAAATTCATTCGTAATATTGATGCACTTAATCTGAATAAGGTCTCACCGAAATATGCTCGGATCTCGTAAATGCGTAGAAGTTTCGGTATCCTTTGTCAAGAACATACATCTCCTGATAATCGCAATGAGGGTAATTCAGTTCGTTATGTTGTCTGTCGATTCGACGAAGAGCGTAGGCCCTAAAATTGGTGTTATTTTACAATTCAAGAGGAACAGATAAAGTGCGAAAATGAAAACCATTCGCTAAATTCTTCTTCCGTGTTGTTTTGAGTGGATTGATTGCTCGAAGAAAAATTAGTGGAAGCTTTGAATTTTTATGAGAATGGTCAAAACTTAGTTAGTTCTTACATGGAAGGTCCTCTCTTTTGACTGAATTCGCAGTAAAAAATTGGAATGCGATTATCTTTCTTCTTTCCATCTTCCGTGTAAAACATGGATTCACAATCAGCGGGATCGTACAGATTTATCGCGTTCTGAAATTTTGTGATTACATCTAATAATCGAATCAATAAAACGTACCCGAATGTGTCCTCCTGCGTACTCATAAGGATATCTACAATCGATGAGCACGTATTGAGATAAGAATTGCTCATCTGACATAGATGACATGACTTCGTGAAGTGTAGCGGCCGATATCCTTCGAAACGCGTTCGAACATACCGGTGAGACCGTCTTTAAATGGTATTCGGTTTGAAGAAGCTGCGGAAGTTCGGCGTGATGTTTAGCGTAATAAACGCCTCGCTCAAGTGCCGACGATGATTGGGCGCGGTGAATCGATATTGATCCAGATTGTTGGGCAACACGATTCAAATTTGGCGGTGGCTTCGACGTCGACGGCATCGAATTCTCGGCCTCGGCGCATTCACGTATCCGCTTCACCGTGGCCGATTCGCCTCCAAATGTGTTCTTTCGTTTAATCTGATTTGTCGAACGAATTGTCAGAACTGAAGGCCTCAAGAACATCGTCCGCGACTTTGGAGACTCATCATAGATCTTGATCTCACACGATTTTTTATGACTGAAAATAATCGCGTTAATGGTGAAAATGAAAGATTGAACTTACATTGTGATATCCTCCATTATCACATCATTGTTTTCCTTGTTCATCATAGAAAACGAAGTAGACATTTCGGTGAAATCCATGTCGCAGATTCCTGAATCGCGAGAATCCTCGTCCGACATCATTTCTGTAAGAGAAATATGAATAAATGATAGAATAAAAATAATATTTACGCATATACATAGTACACCAATGTTAGTGTATGAGAAATACCGACGAGATTGGATGGGGAGGTGTTGTTGGGGGGCGTGTCTGCCAAAGGAAACTTTCCCAAAAGGAACTCGGGGAATCTTAGATTAACTACCGTACACCAGACCTGATATATTCAAAAATAAAAATAAAAAACCTGACATCGGAAACCTAAATGCGTCATCGCCCGAAAAATAGGAACCCAGAGCCAGAATCGCAAGGGTCGCGATTGCGCAACCCTCTAGGCTAATAGACAAACTTTTGTAACCATAGAGAAAAAGGATGAATGACGAAAAATTCGAATTTAGCAATTACACATATTGCGACAATATAGAAGAAACCCCAAAATGATGAACGTTAAATAATCTGAAGCAATTCATTGGAAAATTTTGAAAGAAAATTTTTGCGCAAGTCATTGTGGCTGACCTGAGCGCACATATCGATAGTGAAGTGGTGGCGCAACTGCGCATAACAACATACACACAGTGCCGAGACAGACGGTCCCGATGTTGGGGAGGGATTTGTGGAGCTAGTGCGGGTGGATGCGGTGGTCCGCAACGTTCTCGCGCGGGACCCAACCCATCAATGTTCGGAACGGTACCAGCCTGGCGATATTTGAATATCTACCGAGTACAAGGCAATTGATTGAATAAAGAGCGCCAGGTGGCGCACATTTCTTGCAATACCTATACATTAGCGAGAATTATTACGAGCCACCAACCACCCGCTAAGAATGAACAAAAATTCAAAAAAAAACACGCACAAAGGCAAAGAAAGTCGTGACATTTAATCTCATGAAATAAGTACAATGTTGATTAATTTAAAATATAAGAAACGCGCAAAATGGTAGGTCATTTCTATTTTAGATCAATAAACAAAATTATAGAATATATGGTGTGATTATTTGTCACAATCGTAAATCGTAAAGCAGCTCGCACTTCCTTTGTGCAAAGGAATAGCAGTAGGAATCTTCGCACGTTAACGATCTCACGGTTCGCAAAAGGTGCGAAGTGGAACTGTCGGAATCGGTGACAATAATACGTCCGTTTGAAAATTGGCCGGTACCATGCTCGGCATCGGTAATTTTTCATGAAATGAACTTGATCGAAATCTAGACCGTCAAACGACGGTGCACCTCATTCGACTCCATATTCTCACACCTCTTGGTGAACAAACTTTGAGGAAAATAGAGGTCAGATTGAAGTAATGATAATTTTTGCGAAAACCTACCGCGAACTCAATTAGTTTTTGTCAACTCCGCAACGTCAGTTGTGTCGTTCAAATTTGAAAATTTGATGGCAATACGCGAGAGAGCAGTTTACGAGCGCACAGTGCTAATATTTTCTTGGGAACTCAATAAGGGTTGCTCATAAAATGATGATAACTCCTACCTTTACAATGTAGTAAAATGCCAAAATATTGGGTCAATAAATCAATGAAAATTATTACAACAGTTACACATTCAAAATTAGAATGGAAATAATTAAATTAAATAAAACATAAATTTGTGAAAAAACAATAAATATATAACTACAGTACTTTTCGGTGTAAGGTTTTTATAAATACTGAATCATGCGCCTTGTATTACTGTAGAATTACAATATTTTATTTGTCTAGCGTTTTTTTTTTCGGTTTTTCTTCCTTCTGTATTTGTTATCTAAAAAATTTCATACGAGATTCATCATGGTTGTCATATAGATACAGATCAATCATATTAGCAAAAAATCCATGTGCTTGCTTAATGGATGCCCCATTTGGCGTGAGCAAACATTTCAAGTACTGTGCGCGGAGCTGGGGCCCTGAACAGCAGGAGAACAAATGGTAACAGTATGGATTTTGGCACGTTTGAATATTATCCTTTTATTCGCCGCCGCCGCTATCGCCTAGTTGGTGTTGAGATACCGAAGTGGTTCAAGTTAATGGTCATCGGTCAGTTTACAATCGTTGCTTGTCACGGCTATAGACTTCCGCTTATCTTGTATGTCATCCAAGGCCGGGGGGAGTCCACATATATACTGGGTTTGAATTTTGGGCTACGGTAACACAGTAACGCAAGAACGTTTGCTTGCCCGGATGAAAGCCATATATGAGCAGGTAATGGTGTTTGCGCAATAACATGATGCTTTCAACCACGCAATCCAAATGCAAGTTAATTACGGTAACTGTTGGAATAGAGTATACTCATTCTAAGTATGTTCAATAAAAACAAGAATTTTGACGAGTATATTTTCAGTTGTTAGATTTGCGAAAGGCGCATTCATGCGTTTTGAGTATAAAAACCTTGCCGTTCATTTAAAGAGTTCTTGAGTGTTTTAGGAGTTCTTGAGTGTTTTAATTGAAAAAAGTCACTTATGGATACAAAAAAGTTCTAGCTGTTCCTCTCATCGTGAACTCTCAATGTTGAGCCACTAAACGTTGTGAATATCTATCCAATAATCGCAAATCAATATGGACCTCTTAATTGTATTCAATGATAGATTAAATCTATCGATTTTTTCTCGTTTTATAATATTGAATAATTGGTGGGAACTCGATAATACCATAATTGAGGTAAACGAAAATGACTGACCTGATTTCCGGTGCTGAAATGAGTTGAATCGGTACATTTCCCAGAGTTCCCCGTTGTTTTGTTGAAAACTTTGGTCTATGTTTTCTGAAAAATTCATTTATTTTCACAGAAATCTGTAAAATAATGAATATAATAAGAATAGATCGGTTGAATACAAGAACGCTGGGCGGGGGAAATGGTAGGTGAGAGCCGATAGATGATGACCCAACGTCGAGGAACGAGTCAAAGAGTATGTCGCATACCGGGACAGACACACAGAAAGAGACTGTGCACTCATCGATGCGGACCATTCAAATATGCCATGTAGAAGATCAATGGAATACATTGAATATTTAATTTATGAAACATGCTCCATTATATATACAATGGATCAATTCCGTAACGGAAAAAAGAATTGGGAAAATCCGAAAAAATAAATTTGCCGTAAATAAAAGTAGTCTTCGCAGTTCGTCTTTTCCTATTATGGAATAGATCCATAATAATGTTCGAGATATTCAAGGCAATTTTCGATTTTCGTTTGGATCCATTTTGTTCCAAACAAAATCACATAGCAGCGCGCTTTCACGGAATCCGGTCCAGTTCAAACGTGGTGACATGCCTCATTGCACATCTGACGGATTTACAAGAGTTGGGCTTCAAATAATGATGATGATGCCATCAGAATGTCGGCAGATTCAAAAGCGCTGCATATGCGCAACCAACTAGGTGTCTCAAATGCCGTACCTCGGCACACCAGTAGCGCAACACTGTAAAAGGAATTGCGCATTACATTATCACCTGGTAGAAGACAAAAGAAGACAAAAATGAATTCAAACCAGTCACGAATACTTTTGACTTATTCTAGTATGACATATTTAAACGAGTGGCTAACCATATTATATATGGGTCAATATTTCAAAGCCACATCTCCTTCCCATGTCAAATAATGACACAGTGCCTGGTTCGGTTTGAAACCGAAAACGAAACCCATGGCAGCTGCGTCGCTGTAGCGAAATTTTATGATTAGTAGGCAGCAGATTTCGAATTCGTTCTTTTCACCCGTTCACCTCGAAATTGTTGCAGGTGCAAATTTGCGGTGTCGGGAGCGAAAACCTTGTCGGAATTCTCTAACACGCACGTAATTCGAGCCGCCTAATCCTAACAGCACCTGTCTAGAAAGGAGGGCTTCAGATTGTATCCAATACAATTGTTTATATTATCGGATACGGTATCATGGCACCAAATAATTTCGCACTCATCGAAATGTGCTGACGCAACGCAACAATAAACACATAAACAATCGTTTGAAGCGCGTGCTCTCGACAATGTGCTACATTTTGGTAGTTGAGTGCGAACAAGTTCAGCGGTCCCATTCTATCTAACAAAGGTGCCATATTTGGGTGTGTGCAACGAACGACGACAGTTATCTGATTTGGTGATGACATGTGGTTTTTCGGCTCATGTAATCTCAGGAGTCTTAGTTGGATCCGAAGAAGGGCGAAGAAAAGATGAAGAGGAGGAAAGGAATTGTGACATTTCTGAAGAATACAGTTCAACATAGCTAATTTGCTAATTAATTCGATCTAACGAATGAGCACAAACCAAAAAATAAATGAAAGAAGCTCGCGTTTGGGGCGTTCGGTAGCGCAGAATCGGTTATGCAATCTATCATAAGAAGCTCATCCGGTCCGGAACCGAAATAGTACTCAGATTCGCTAGATTCTAGACGTTTTTAATTAACGAGATAGTACAAGATTAGTGGAGACTCAGACTGTGTTCGGTGCGTTCTGCGCGAGACAGCTGACGTCCGTTCGAGCGCATCGAGAAGCTGCTCGCCGTCGTGCATTTGAATATCTCGTGCCACACTAGAATTATCCGCATGGTCATATCCCATTCACACGTCTATTCGCCTCCTCTTTTGTATTCAAATTCCAGTGCCAGCCTGGGTGGTCCGATCGCGCTCTATTCTTTAGGGCTCTCGGCGAAAGGTCAAAATCGCGCGATCTCACATATCCGCGCACTATTTCGTTACGGTCTACCTGACCTTCTACAGTAATACGCAATTTCTCGGGGTATCACACAAATGAATGCTATTTGACGAATTGAGCCGACGGCCGACAAATAAAAAAGTCCGCCGCCGAACGGGACCATAAGCGTTATAGTATACATAACGCAACCGTTTTTCGAGTACTTGTCAAGGTAACTCAGCAAATAAACATGCATATTTCAAATTTTGCCGATCACAATAGACAAAATAGGGAGGCATATAATTTCAAAGGTTGGATCCTAAAGATCCAGACATACTGCAGGAAATTGGAATTGAAATTCTGGAAATATTTAATATTCGAACTAACAATGCGCAAAAAACTCATGGGAATCGAAATTAAA